GCTCTGGGATTTGTTTTGCACTCCTGTATCACCACAGGTTCAGTTCTCTCCTTTAGTGCTGTAATCCAAGCACACTGAACTTTTATCACCTGTCCCAGGTAGGGACCTGGGCCAGTGACTTTTGCTGTGGGATACTTGAGTTAACAGGAGTTGCAGTATTAAGTCACAGACTTGTTTTGCAGTTAACCTCCTGCAGGAAGAAACTGTAGCTACTTTTTACCTCTGCTTTAGGTGTGTGGCTACTTATAATTAAATACTTCTATGCCATTTTGGGGCAGAGGTTGGGTTTTGTTCTTGTAACAGCTGCTCCCAGATGGTTTGTGCAGCAAAGGGCTGTGGAGGTCACCTATAGCAGAGAGTCAGGTGGACACTAATGCAGTACAGTGGGAAATTATTTTGTCTTTCAGGAAGAGCATATTTTCCTCACCAACTTCACCTGTGTCCTCTTCTGCTGTCTGAAACTCAGGAGGGTCCTGCACCACCACGTGCTCACCTGCTGACTTGTTCAGCAAGGCAGGTTCTGGGTCCCCCCTGCTCTTGTGGCTTTCTGCATTTGAAGGCTGTAGTTACTCTGTCATTTCTTTCCATCTTCCTTTGGGGTAGATTCCAAATAGCTGGATACTAAGGATATATGTCTTGTAAACCAAGTCTTTTACCAGGATGGTTTAAGGGTTACCTAAGCAGGTTGATGATTTTGTTTCTTTTCCCCTCAGATTGATGCATCATGCCTTACGTGGGAAGGACAGCAGTTCCAGGGCAAAGCAGCAATTGTTGAAAAACTCTCTGTAAGTCTGCAATCCTTACCAGATGTTTTGGGAAACAGTTCTGAAGACTAAATTAATTGCTTCTGCAAACTTGATTTTTGACTCCAGCAGTTTAAAACTCTTGAATGTGAGACTTGCTCTGTCAACATTTGGTCCTCAGAAGATGTTACTTGTGGTTTAATTCTGTGTAGTGGGGTGTTTCCTTGGTGGCTCCAAGAGTGGAATGATCATTAACTCCCCTTACTTTGCAAAATTATTTTGTGACTGCAGTTGCAGTTGGCACTATTGATCTATTTTTTTAAGAAGTACAATTCAGAAGCTGAGCCCTTGACCTGGAGGAATGAAAGGTGGGTTTTTCTTTCCTTTTAAAGCCTGCCAAGGAAGTAGCAATAGCCAACCTGTTACTTGGACCTGCCTGTGATAAGGACTAAGCACATTATTGCAAGGAACAATTTATTTTTTGATGCATAAATGCAAATAAGTTCTGTGGTGGAGACCCTGACTTGTCTTCAATGCAGCAGGCAGGAGGGACATGTCAGTAATGATGGCCTGCTGGAAGCAGAATGACTTCACTGGTGCAACTTGTGCTGAGGAGATCTGGGTGTTCTATGTCTGCGTGGCAAAGGCAGAAGTAATTAACACCTCTTTTGTGTTCTTAAAGGCTATGTAGCAGGGAAGGAGGAAGTCCTCAATTTTTATGTGCCAATAGTAATAGTGTTCTCTGAACAATGTGATTGATGTTGTAATCCATTTGAGCTGTAGGAGAGATGCAGGATGATGTAGGTCAAGCACAGAGTCCTTCCTTTATCAATGCAGAAGTCAGGTTTAAATTAAATTAGAATTAAAATAATTAGAATGTAGGAAAGGGACTGGATGTCTGGTGTGTTGTAAGCAAGGATGGGGAAAAAAATAGTCACATCTAGTCCTTTTCATGTTGTCAAATTCTTGAAGGAGATCTCAGCTGCTGTCAATTGACCCTAACCTAGGCCAGTTCTTCAGATTTCTAAAACGTTTTTAGTCTCTAATGTTTCAGCACTACTGAAGCAGTAATAGTCACTGCTCTTCATATATCATAATTCAGGATGAGGGAGGGTGCAGTTTGGAGCTCTTAAGTAGCACAGTGATTTTACATATAAACAATAGTATTACCTAGAAAGGTTGGACCAGGTGATCCTTGAGGTCCCTTCCAACCTGGTATTCTATGACTTGTCAGCTGGGAGCATCACAAGTCAGGACTTGGAAACCCCTGGCTCCCATCATCAAGGGAGGAGTTTCTTACTGTTTAGAGACTGAAATTCTCCTATGTTAATTCAGTAAAACTTGGAGAAGATTTATCTGAGTAAATCTGTGCTTCTGTTATAAAACTGGTTGTGCTTCTAAGCTGGCAAGAAGGTAGACAGTTTGTTTCTCTTGCAAGGTATGTGAAGGGCATGCTTTGGTCCCTGGACCAAAGACAGGTTGGAGGGGGCTTGGAGCAACCTGGGCTGGTGGGAGGTGTCCCTGCCCATGCAGGGGGGTTGTAATTAAATGATCTTTAAGGTCCCTTCCAACCCAGACCATTCTATGACATGATCCTTTGATATGATGTGCTGCTCTCAGTGTGGTATTTCAGGAAGACAGACCATTTTAATTACATATTGAGAAGAAAAAATCTTTGGAACTTGAATGCTTGTCTTGTTGCACAGCTCCTGTGTTTTGGAATCTCTGCTTTCATCCCAGACACCTCTAGCTGTGAAGGCTGAAGTCTGCCCTTGGCTCTGGGTTTTAGGTGCCTGCCTTGCCTTGGAGAAGGCCACACACCTCAGAATAGCACAGCTTGCAACTGCTCCCCTCTAGATGAGGAGCTACTCAAGCTCTGAAGTTGCTTGTTTGTGTACTCAGTGTTCTTGAGGCTTCTGGGCTAGGAGCCATTGAGACACCCAACCAGCAAAGCATTTCCTTGGCCACAGTGTCTCAGGCTGCTGCCTTGGATCTGGCCCAGTGCAAATCAGCCCCTTTCACACCCGAGCGTTACTCATCTCTGCCTTCCCTGTCTGTACTGCAAGCTGGACTTTCTGGGTTCATGTGCCTGCTGCCCAGTCTTGCTTGATGAGTGAAGTCAGGCTGCCTTGCCTCAGGGGGAGTGTTTCTGACTTGTATCCATCTGCTTAAGGTAAGGAAGAAATACAGTAGAAATATTCCTGTGTCCTTCCACTGTCATGGCTCATTATGGGGCTGTATCAGCTTACCCTGACTGATGTCTCAGCATATCTCTGTCAGCACCAAGCCTCTTGGGCTCTGTTTGCTGCTTCAACTTAGTGTGCTTCATCTCCTCTGGACCATCTTGGTCAGTTGAGCAGATGACTGCAAGTTTGACACTGTAATTCTTCTGGACTTTGGCAGCCTTGTGTTCTTCAGTGCCTGGCTGATGAATCAGTGGAAGCAGCAAGAGGCAGGATTTTCTTTTATCTGGTGGGAGGTGTCCCTGCCCATGCAGGGGGGTTGTAATTAAATGATCTTTAAGGTCCCTTCCAACCCAGACCATTCTATGACATGATCCTTTGATATGATGTGCTGCTCTCAGTGTGGTATTTCAGGAAGACAGACCATTTTAATTACATATTGAGAAGAAAAAATCTTTGGAACTTGAATGCTTGTCTTGTTGCACAGCTCCTGTGTTTTGGAATCTCTGCTTTCATCCCAGACACCTCTAGCTGTGAAGGCTGAAGTCTGCCCTTGGCTCTGGGTTTTAGGTGCCTGCCTTGCCTTGGAGAAGGCCACACACCTCAGAATAGCACAGCTTGCAACTGCTCCCCTCTAGATGAGGAGCTACTCAAGCTCTGAAGTTGCTTGTTTGTGTACTCAGTGTTCTTGAGGCTTCTGGGCTAGGAGCCATTGAGACACCCAACCAGCAAAGCATTTCCTTGGCCACAGTGTCTCAGGCTGCTGCCTTGGATCTGGCCCAGTGCAAATCAGCCCCTTTCACACCCGAGCGTTACTCATCTCTGCCTTCCCTGTCTGTACTGCAAGCTGGACTTTCTGGGTTCATGTGCCTGCTGCCCAGTCTTGCTTGATGAGTGAAGTCAGGCTGCCTTGCCTCAGGGGGAGTGTTTCTGACTTGTATCCATCTGCTTAAGGTAAGGAAGAAATACAGTAGAAATATTCCTGTGTCCTTCCACTGTCATGGCTCATTATGGGGCTGTATCAGCTTACCCTGACTGATGTCTCAGCATATCTCTGTCAGCACCAAGCCTCTTGGGCTCTGTTTGCTGCTTCAACTTAGTGTGCTTCATCTCCTCTGGACCATCTTGGTCAGTTGAGCAGATGACTGCAAGTTTGACACTGTAATTCTTCTGGACTTTGGCAGCCTTGTGTTCTTCAGTGCCTGGCTGATGAATCAGTGGAAGCAGCAAGAGGCAGGATTTTCTTTTATCACAGAATCAATCTTAGGGGTTGGAAGGGACCTCAAAAGATCATCTAGTCCAGCCCTCCAGCCAGAGCAGGATCACGTAGAGCACATCACTCAGGAACACGTCCAGGCAGGTTTTGAATGTCTCCAGCAAAGGAGACATTTATGGCAAGTTCTCTGCTGTGGAACAGCCACACTGTGGCACCTCTTCAACCTGCCCTGTCAGATGGTGCTCATACAGCAGGACAGGGTTGTACAGACATGGCTTTGTCAGCACTGTGCACCTGTACTTGGTGGTAAAGGTGGGAGTTGACACATTCCTCCTATCTTAATTGGTGCTGGTCTTAGAAGTTGTTTCAGATGAGTGACTGTCCTAATCAGGGGGCAGCTGGATTGACATGGCTGAGATAATCCCATAGTTCTGTGAGCCTCCTGGAACCAGGGAGGAAGCTGGGGCAGGTAGTTCTGTTGCCAGGAGTGAGTTTGAGGTACTTGTCTTGATTCTGGCTTCAGGGATTCCATGGTTTTGGTTGAGTTTTAGTGTCAGAGGACACTAGCAGCCTCAGTTGTTTCATGGCTTCTCACTTCTCTTGTACTCTTCATACCAAGAAATGCTTCTCTCCAGTACAGGCAGATGTCCATCAACAACCATGCTTTTGAAGTAGCTTCTCTCTGTCAAAAAATCAGTGACCTGTCCCATCAGCTGACCCTACACTTTCCAGTGGATTTCCCTCACTGCATCACATGATAGGTCCTCACTGGGCTGGCCAAGCTTTGGGGTCCTTTTCTCTGAAGGAGACAATCTGATACTTGGAACAGGCACCATCTTCCCCAGCCTTGTCTCTGGTTCCTTGTCACTGTTTTGCAGGGCTCTTGCCTCTGCAGCCTTTCCTTCCTCCCTCTCCTCTCCCCAGTCTCACCTCACCTTGGCATCTTGTCACACAGGAAGCTGCCTTCTGGGGACAACCTCATTCATTCCCCTTCATCCCTCTGCATTTTCCAGGGATTCTTCTTGCAGGACTTGTTCAACAGGAAGCTGTTGGGCTGCTGAGGTGAGACTGGTTTCATTCAAGACAGTGCACATTCAGGTTTGGGATGGGGAACCTGGAACATATTCTGCTGGTAGTTCAGGAAAGATTGCTCTGGATTTTGTGTTTAGTTTCAGGAAATCTGTTGTGTGTTGCAAACCAGTGGTGAGCTTTGTGGTTCCTGGTAAGTTGGGATTGTTCTCCCAGCCAAGTTGAAACCCTGCAGGCTTAATTAGTGTGTTGTTGGACAGTGTCCCCTCTCATCAGAGAACTGCTCTCTACATTTCCCTTTCTTCCCCAGGTATTGACCCTTCCACAGTTTGTGTTCCCTGTTATCCAAGGATTTAGTTTCCTGTTGTTGTTCCTGAAGCCTTGTGCTTGTCAGAGCTAAGTCTGTACTTTGCATCCTTGACAGTTGGACTTGGATCTCCTGTTCTTCTACACAGGCCTTCTAGGAAGTCTTTTGGGCTCCTACTACTAGAATGAAATGCAGAACTCAAAGTACATGCCTGAGTCTGCCTCAAGCTGTGAGCAAATTAGGGCAGTGAAGTCAAGGCACCAAAGCCCAACCTGGGGTTTAGCTAACCACGTGCTGCTGGCCTGTGCAGTGGATGGTCTCTAGATATCAGCCCATGGACACTGAGCTCCATCTGTGCTGAACTGCCTCTTGTAAAACATCTGGCATTACTGCAGCTTTGGAGGGAACTGGGCCAGGACTGCAGTTGTGTGACAGGACTTGGAGATCTCCATGATGTCTGAAGTCACCGCTGGAGTCATCTGTGGTTGGAATGTGAATGTGGTCTGAGTTGAAAGAGAGGAGTTAACTCCCCAATGTCTGGTGTTTCTCAAGGTGTGTTCCTTGCATCCAGGCATCTGCTACCAGGCATGGAGAGCTTTTTTCAGGTTGTGTAGTTTTGATCTGCAACTCCTCCTTTCCCTCTGCTCTTGCCTGGTCCATGGCAAAGGTTGGGGCCTGTCACTGTGCTGGTTCCCCTCAGGTGCTGTCAAGAGGGAAAGAAAAGAGGGGAAATGCGGATAAGTGGATTTCAAGTCCCAAACACTTGGTCAGTCACCTTTCCTGTGTGTCCACAGCTGTTTTAACAGAGAAGAGAATTCGGAGTTGGCTGGTAAACCCCAAGGTCTAGATCATATAATCATTTCACACTGTCCAGAGCAGCTTTGTGCCTTCATCATGTGAATTTGGAGCTTGTACATGAACTGAAGCTGTTTGGGCAGTGTAATTAGACTAGGAAAAGGTCTTGGGTGGTTATGTAGTCATGTCTCAGTGCTTGAAAAACACCTGTTTGGCTTTGCTAGGAAAAGAGCTCTTAATTCTCTTTACAAATGCAGAGTTTTCTTCTTTGTATGGAAAAATCAATGTGAACATGGGGAAAATCTTTATGGGCTTTCCTTCCATCACTTGGTTCTAACAGCCTTGGCTCAATCCCTCTTCTTTTTCTAATTCAGTATTTGCAGAGTTACACCCTCAGGATTACCCCACAATTATACATTTGTAGCCAGACCATGAAGTGGGTGGGCAGAGGGGACACTAGCAGAGCTCCATGTCCCTCGGAGGCATCAGTGATCTTTGTCTTTTTCCTCTGAGAAACTCTGATGGTCTAAATGCACCATCCAGCTCAAGACCAATTCCTGGGCTGCTTTTCTCCTTGCAGTTGTGGCCCATTTTCAGGGTGCAGGACAGTCAGTGGGCTCTAATTGTGAGCAGTAGTTGAGGTGCCTTCAGTCTGTCCTCTGCAAAGCTCTTCCCTGGGAATGGTCTCCATCATCTGCCCTCGGATACACCCCCAGGAACATCTCAGCTCTCCTTTGATCTCAAGTCTCAGGAGTTTCCACTTTCCAGCAGTGCCTTGTTTGGGGATTTTAGAAGTTAAAATCTTGAAATGTTTGTTGGTTGGTTGGTTGGTTGTTTTTTTGCCTCCTTCCCTGGCTTTTAATGGTGGTTCCTCATTTGGCTGGTGGTGGTTTCTGGAAGAGTTCCTCTGGTGCAGACCTGGCCAGGAGGGGGCAGGTAACAGATGCAGGTTCCAGGCCATTGCTGAGCTGGGCTCCAGATCCCCAAGGGCCTTATTTTTCCAGACTCTTGTTCAGGCAATGGAAATGAAGCTGGAATGACACCTAGTGGTAAATCCTTTAGGTAAATCCTAAAGTGTGTGTCCCAGCACAGCCCTCTTTGGGTCACCTTCCCACTGCTTCTGGCTGAGATGTTCTTACCAAGAAGAACCTGGGGCTGAGGGCTGGTCCTGGCCCACACCTGCAGCTCTGGATGTTCCCCAGCTTGCCCAACGTGGCATCATGTTCTCCTCTCCTGATCCCCAAGAGCAGCTTTTTCAGCCCAGGATGAGTGTGAGTCCCTGTGCAGCCACTGGAAGGGACCTTCAATGCTGGGGAAAAGACAAATGTGGTCACCCCACCAGTGTGTCCAGGAGAAGCTCAGCAGCACCCTGGGCACATCCTGGGGGGCACTAGGAGAGGGAAAAGCCCAAAGGTGCTGAGGCTGGAGCCAGTAGGTTTGGGATTTACATGTTGCCCAGGGAAGCTGTGGCTGCCCCATCCCTGGCAGTGTTGAAGGGCAGGTTGGATGGGGCTTGGAGCAGCCTGGGCTGGTGGGAGGTGTCCCTGCCCATGCAGGGGGGTTGGGACTGGATGATCTTCAAGGTCCCTTCCAACCCAAACCATTCTATGATTCTATGACCAACTCAGCCTGAGCAGTGTGAGTTACAACAACTCTCCATGCACTGCTACCAAAATTGTCTCTCACTTCATAATGTCAAGTTTGCTCAAACTTTGTTTTGTAAGTTAAATAATGCAATTATCATGTATTTGCTGATTGTACTTTCTTTTTCTTGCAGAGCCTCCCTTTCCAAAAAATACAACACAGCATCACAGCACAAGACCACCAACCTACACCTGACAGCTGTATACTCAGTATGGTAGTGGGACAGCTTAAGGTAAACTCTTGCCATTCCAGGTTAACAAGTGCTTATGTCTTGCATTTCTGCAGGATTCTAATTAATTCTACTTTTGAAAACATGAGAATGCTCCCTTGGGTAAGAAAGGAACTCTGGTGAGCTTGTGTTGGGATCTCATTCTTCTGTTGTTCAAGACCTGTCAGGAAACTGCTCATCCAGTCAGAGACCTGGCACCAGCAAACCACCTGTCATGTGAGTGGTGTTCCTGCCCAGTACAGAGCCATGGTTTTTACTGTGCATACAAGTAGCATGTGGGCTAAAGAAGCATCAATATTTCCCTTCCTCTGACACAGGAAGGTTTCAGTGTTCTCTGCATTTAAAAACATCATGACAGTGCTCTTGAACAATATTCAGTTGGATGTAGCAGATGCATCCAGCTGTGATGTAGCAGACATCTCCTGCTGGCTGACAGCCCTTCAATGAGACCCTGCTTGTTCTTGGTGACAGGACACAAGAATGCAGTGCTGGTGGTGGTGTAGTCCAGGAACTGTAGTCAAAACTGGTTCAGCAGCAGGAGTGTTGCCTCTGAGCTCAAATGTTTGTTGTTGAACCATCTGCTTCTTGTGAAGAAATCAGACTGTTTTTCAGGCTGTAGTATGAAGACATTGCTGTTTAAGTTACACTGCTGAGCTGTGATCTTACCCAGTCTCCAGTTCTGTTGAGGAAATGTTGCATCTTAATATCCCAGGGCCACGGACTTGTAAATGAATGAGACTAATTGTAATGAAAAGTTGTCCTGTACTCTGCAAAAAACACCCTGTGTGTCAAGCCAGCCACAGGCACACAGGGGGTGCTGTTTGTTTAAAGTCTGCCACATTGCAGTAGTGAAACTTACTAGGGTTAGTTTTCTAAGGGTCTGTCTAGCCATACTGCCCAGGCAGGACTCTGAAGCCATCAAGACTTTAGAGTTACTTGAACCCAGTTTCCTTCAAAACAGCTGCTACCTCTGAGCAGCACTGCTGGTATTGAGGCATCCAAAACCCTCCTGCCTCTACTGGTCACTAGGCAAACAGGACTGGGAGTTTGAATCTGCTTGCTTAGCTGTTCACCTGAAGTGGTCTGAGCTGGGCAGTTGGGAAGAGCAGTCCCCAGTGTATGGCATCCACTCCTAAGCCTAACATATGTGGCTTTGGCTCTTGTGAAAGTTGCTCCTGCTTCCTAGCTGCAAGTTGGATTCCAGCTTGTTTGTTGCTCCATCCTGCCTGCACAGACTCTGGTGAGGACAGCCAGCCACTCGTGGGCAGGGAAAAGCACAACTGCAGGACAGGAGTGAAGTCAGACATGCTCATCTCTGCATCTTGGGAGTGCCCAAAGCTCAGTGATGTGACCAAGACTTTTTGAGTCAATGTCTTGGGCCAGTCAGTCACATCTGCACCTAGTTTTGCAGAGTCAGTTGTTAAGGTTGTTGTGGAATCGTGCAGCAGATCTGCTTGCAGCAGTGGTAGAGTTGGGTCCTGGGGCAAGATACCAAGTTCTTCAAGACTCTGTAAGATTTTTGAGTTTTCTTATCCTTTTAATGGGGTTTTAGATGCAGTCTGGGAGTTTTCCATAAATACCATGGCTCAGAGTGAGCAGTATTTCTTACTGTGCTGTTTTTATCCTCTGAATAATTCAGGGATCACATGATGGTGTGTCTAAGTACTTGGAAAGAAGAAACTGGATTGAAGTGAAACCCAGGTGGTTTGTGAAGTCTTAGTAGAAGAGGCAACATTTTTACACTATTCACATGTATGATTCTCCAATCTTAGCTTTAAAAAGCCACATTTTAATGTCTGGGAATGCTGCTCCTCATCAAGGAAGTGTCCAGAAAGTCAAAGTCAACTTAGAACTTTTTGCTTCTGCCTTCTGTGATGTTCTACAGGTGGGCAAACGAAATAGTGGTGGTCTGTAGCAATTTGCACAAGGAAGTGGCCTTTGAAGACCCTCAGCAGCAGGTCTTGATGATCTTCAAGGTCCCTTCCAACCAGGATGATTCTATGGAGGGAAGAGCCATCCTCCCTGCTTACTGTTCAGTTATTCTTGGCATGGGACTGTGAAACAGATTCTTCAAAGCTCTGTACAATTAATGTTTGTGCTTTTGAATCCTCTGGTTTTTCAAAACGTGCTTTAAGTAATGAAGGAGCATTCCTAATGCTTTTTTTCCAGAGTAATTCCAGAAAATAGCCATGATAAAATACCTGTAAAGGGCCCTTTCTAAGAAGTCATTCTTAGCATTGAGATTTAAGTGGATTTTCTGAGGCCTTTGTTGCTAGAATTGCTAGTCCCAAAAGTTGTGTGGAAACTCCTCTTTAAGTGAGCTGGGTACAGTTTGTATTTCTTCCTTAAACATTTTCATCTTGCTTGATTTTAGGGAAAAAAGGAACCAAAGCAAAGCACAAAAACCTTCTACTCTCCATGCACAGACTGTAGGGTGAACTGCTGCCAAATTGTCACTAAACCTCATCCCTCTTCTTAACAGTACAAGAATAGTCCTGAAGTAATCATGGGGCCAAGGACTATGACTGTCACACTCTTATTTCCTTTACCAGATTATTATTCCCTAAGTAAACCTGCAGGTTTGGGTTGTTTTAAGCCTTTGGCTTCCCCTGCTGGAGGGGATTTGAGGGGGATCAGTTGACATCATGACTGTCCTGTGAGGAGGGCAGGATGTGTATCCCAGCATGCTAACACCATTCTGAACTGGAAATAATCGTATTTTGCAGCAGAATGTTCCCCTGCACTGAGGGGTCAGTCACAGAATCATCTTGGTTAGAAGGGACGTTGAAGATCATCAGCCTACCATAAACTAATTTACCTGTTCAGTCACAACAGGTGCTTGGAGAAGATGCTTGAGTCACTGAGCATCTGAGTGGGGTGAATGTCACTAGTAAGGGAGCAGGACAAGTAATCACTTTGATCAAAAAGCATATTTACAAGTAAATATAGGAAAGATCCTTCTGAATGGGTGTTGGGATAGGTAGGAATGTGTTTTAATTTGGTAGGGGTACAATAAATACACCTCCACTTATTCATAGGATCCCAGACTAGTTTGGGTTGGAAGGGACCCTAGAGCTCATCCAGTTCCAACCCCCTGCATGGGCAGGGACACCTCCCACCAGCCCAGGTTGCTCCAAGCCCCATCCAACCTGCCCTTCAACACTGCCAGGGATGGGGCAGCCACAGCTTTCCTGGGCAACCTGGGCCAGGCTCTCACCACCCTCACAGGGAAGAATTTCTTCCTGACTAAATTTCTTCCTAAATTCTTCTAATGACTATTTTCCTTGCTGTTTCTTGTCTGGATGCTTGCTTGCTCCAGCTAGGGGAGGGTAGAGTACCAGCTGAAGCCTTCAGGAGTGAGTGTCATATGGTGTGACCTTACTTTGCTGTTGTCCATCCAGAATGTCACCCAGTCTTCTCCATGTGCTTCTCCTAGTAACGTATTTCTCCTGTCCTGCTCAGGCAGATGATGACCAGGTTCTAGGCTTCCACCAAACCTTTTTGTTGAAAAGTTTTCAAGGTGCCTGGGTGTGCACCAACGAAGTCTTCAGGCTAGCCCTGCACAACGTTTAGCCCTCTGCCTTACCTCCCTTCCATGCAGTCTTCACTGGCCTGGTTGAGTAAGGAGTGCTCTCTTCTGCTCTAGTGGCTCTTGAGCTGGGCTTCTTCTCAAAGCATGGCTGTGGCTTGTGCCTTCTCACAGCAACCTGGCACATCTGTGGCTCTCCCCCAGCCTGGGACTTTGCAGAATTAATTGTGAATAACTCATGTGGGGTTTCCTAGTCTTAAAAGGGAAACGAGATTTGCAATTAAAATCACTGGATGTTTTTTGTAATGCATGCTGCCCACTTAACGCCCTGCTGAAAGCCTGGTAATGAGGGTTAACATCTCCAAGAACCTGATATTGGGAGTAATTAGCCTTTTCTTTGAGATAAGGGGAGCCACAAGCCTGCAGTTCCATTAGCAGTTGCTCTGGGGTGCTGGTGGGAGAGCAAAACTGTCTCTGACCAGGCAAAGGACAAAAGTGCAGCTCAACAAGGATGATGAAGTCCTGCTGCATTTGGTGCTCTGGCACGACCCATGGCCCTGTGAGCTGAGGACTTGCTACAGTTTTGAGCCTACAGGTCACAAGGGATGTAATAAAACTGTGAGAGATGAAAAAGCTGCCAAGGTTGTCAGTGTTGGAGAGCTTGTGGAGCCTGGAGAGGAGGTGGATGAGGCCAGCCTGCCTCTGGTGGAGATGAAAGGTAGTTGAGCACCTCCAAGCTGAAAGCAAACTCCTTGGTGGTGCCAGACAGTGAAATAAGGGATGTAGTTGCAAATCATGACTTGGGAGATTCAGATTGGACACAAGGGAAAGATTTTTACTGGGGGGTTGAATCCCTGGGGAATAGTGCCTGGACAGCTTGGGAAACATCTGTTCTTGGAGGCTTGGGAGACTCTGCTAGTCAGAGCTGTGCCTGCTGGTAGTCTGTGCTGGTGCTGAGCATGAGGCTGGGCTGGAAACCAGAGGATCCTTCCAATGATTCTGTGACCATTTTTATTTGAATTCAAGGATGTCATGAAAGAACTTGAACTGCATAAAGGAAGGAAACCTCTGTAGGAAAGAATAAAGCCCCTGCGTTTCAAGCCTGGACTCACCTGGAATGCAAATTTTGAGTTGGATTTAGTTAAGTTGGAAGCGGAAAGTAAGAGGAAAGAGTTTCGGTGAGGTTACCTGAGCTGTGATGAAGATCAAAAAGTGGGATAGGATTAGTCTGTGTCTTCTAGAGCATCTCAAGTCACTCTGCTGTGGGTCTCTGCTCTATGCTAATAGGGTGTATTCAGAATTATGGGAATGAACTAAAAAGTATTTCATTCTCCATAAATACAGTCTAGGATTTTCCTTGTTTTTAAAGTATATTGCTACTCTAGGCTGTGAAGACTTAACATGAAAGGAATAAAGAAAGCAATAATGTGTCTTCATTGTGGCAATTTCCCATCTGTACAACAGCAAGTGTTTGGGGAAGGATTCCCTTTTAATCTCCTTTCACGTGTCCTGTCATGAATTGTGTAAGAAAGGAGGAAGTTCTTCAAGCTGAAGCACCAAGAGCTGCACTCACTCCACTGCAGCTGGGCTGATCAGAAGTTGAGGAAACTGACCCTAAAACTAGTCTGGTGGTGGTGTATATATAGAGATTTTTTTTTTAGAGATATGTATTTTAAAGTCTGTTCATGTCAGTAATGACATGCTCACATTTGGTGTGGAAGCTACTTGGGCAACTTAAAACAAATGCCTCAGTAACCCAAGAAAAGGAGACCACAGGGCAAGTGAGAGGAAACTAACTGCTTATTAACAGTTGTGATCAGAAGTGATCCAAGCTGAAACGACTCTGCCTGGCTGGTTTAAATGAAGCCATTGGAGAGGAGCTGGCAGGAACAGGAATAAATTCCACTTTCTGAGAAGAGCATGAACAAGATGCTTTACAGAGTTGGGTGTCAAACTGTAACATACAGCTCTGATGTTCCTCAGTTTCCTTCAAGTTTCCTGCACATCCAGTAGCCTCCCAGCTATCAAGCAATAGTAAGACTACACACTAGGGTGTAAGAGTTATGTTTGATACCTAAGAAAAGCTGGAAAAGGCATAAACCCCCTGGGTGTCAGTGCACAGCCCACCTCTCTGGGGTGGATACACCAGCACCCTTGCTGGGCAGGGCTGACACTGATCACACTCCCTTGAAACAACTGGCATGACTGCTGACCTGTGCTGGTGAGCAGGGTGGGAAGCTGGTCTGATCAGCAGAACTGCTTGTCACCCTGTGCTGGTTGTCACGGAGCCTCTGCCTGATGCAGCAGTGACAAAAAGCTGCCCAGATCACCAGCCTGTTGAGCAGGGACTGTTGGCACTTGCCTTGCTCAAGGATTTTCCTTTCATTCCTCTGCTGAACTCTTGAGCTGCTTGTGCTTCTGGCCTTGTTGCCTTTTGTTCTGGCTGTAGGACACCAGTTTCCTCATTCACTGCTGCCCTTCATGATTTTATAGTCATTTCATATTTTGTCTGTTCTCCCCACCCTGTGTTTGCAAGCTAGAGAGTCAGATTCAATTTACTTCCTTCAGCTTGATCATCTTTCTTGTCCTTCTCTGACCTTTCTTCATTGTAACCTTTTACTTTTTAAATGACAAATGCATGCAGGGTTTGGTATGTGGGTGCTCTCTGTGCATTTATGCAGTTGCTGACTGATGGGTTTGGTTCTCTACTCCTTTCCTGCTAACACTGTGCTTGCCTTGACAGCTTTTTGAGCTCTCACCTGGTTTAAAAATAAATTTAAAAATAAATTATAAAACTGTCCATCGTGGGTCCAGTATCACTCTCTGGAGAAGCAGTAGCTGATTTAGGGCCCTTTTTTGTTTTCCTCTATGGATTGTTATATACTTATTGAAACTGCACTTCATCCTACACCTTTTTATTTCCCAGGCAGTTGTCACTGTGAAATCCTTGCAGTGATTTTACATTTGGATGCTGCTTTCACATGGACTTGATCCTACCCTTGCTCTGGCAGACTTGCTCTTTGGTGGCAGAACTGATGTCCTCAGAGCTGACCCCTTTCACACTCAATTTATCCCTTACACAGATATTATTTTGAAGTAATGATACATCTTCTAAATTTATTTTGTAGGCTGCTTTGCTCTTCAACCTTTTTCAGTTGCACGGAGCAGCATTTTGCCAGGCTCTTTCTTGTGCTCCTCTGGCTGCTGCTTTTCCATGCTTTTTTATGTATTTTCCCCATTTTCTGAAGCTGAATAGTCATGTGCTGAAAGAACAGAGCTTGAAATCCTCTGAAAATTCTGAATTCAATACGCTGTGGTCAGTATCAGATTTTTTTCATAGCAAGGTCCTGTGCACTGTTCAGATTAAATCCTGTTGTGCTTTCCAATCCGTTGGGGAATCATGTCTGTTGTTTTGAGGCTTTAACTCCTGCATGATGTCTTTGAGGAGAATGGTGAATGTTAGGTGGGAGTACTAGTCTCCCTCTACTACTGTTTTGTGCTTTTGCAGTAATAAATACAGGGCAGGCACAACAACCTGCCTGGGTGAGTTGTGAAAGGCAGGAGCTGAGGTGCTGCTGCAGCCCCCTATGCTCAGAACATCTGGTGGCAGCTGGAGCAGGTACTTCACTCCCTTCCAGCTGTTCCTGGACAGTGGAAATGGGAAGTACTGCATGCTTGGCAACTACCTGCTCTGGGACAGCTTCCAAAAGCCTCCATCACCACCTGGATCCTTCAGGCAATTGTGTTGATACCAACTTCTACAGGAACTCTTGTCATCCATCCAAAGGGCAGCAGCTCCAAACTGGTTTTAAAAGACCTCATTTTATTCTGGGTTCCTGAGAAAGGCCCAAAGAGCATTTGTGCTCTTACCAGTGCTGTGAGGCTGCTGGGATGAGATACCCACAAGTCTGCCAGAAAACCCTGGCTTCAGATGCCATGGCAGGAATTCTGTGTCATTTGGGCCCTGGGAGTTTAACTGCAAAGCACCTTGGAACAGAACCCCACGGTTTAGTCTTAGTCTTTGTTGAGGTATTTGGCCTCTTACAGCATGTGACACCACTGTTAACTGTAGCTTTCCAGTCCTTGTTAGTTGCAGAATACAATTCTAAAAAAAAAAGAGCTTTTTCAACATATTTCCTCTCTTCCTACAGGCTGATGAAGACCCAATCATGGGATTCCACCAGATATTTCTATTAAAGAACATCAACGACGCCTGGGTGTGCACCAACGACATGTTCAGGCTAGCACTGCACAACTTTGGCTGAGCTGGTGACCCTGAGGCACCCAGGCTTTTTTTTTTCTTTCTTTTGTTGTTGTTTTGGGTTATTTTTTTTTTCCTCCTCTCTTACTGGTATTATTCACACTCACAGAACATTCCAAATATCATACACAAACCTGCAGAGCGTGGGCGAGGCCTGTGACCTGCCCTTCTGCTGAGTTTACATTGTCACTAGATGAGTTTCTTGTGCATGATGTTTGGAAGTTAGACTTAGCTGCATTTGACAAGAGAAATTTGTGTTGTACCAGCATGCCTCGGGAAGAGTCCCTCATGCAACAGGTTGCTGTTTCTGTACTGACAAGATGCTCTGTAACCCAAAGAAACAAGCGAACAGCAGCCTGTCCAGCCCAGAGATGGATTTGTTCAGATGTTTCAATGCTCCATTACACAATAAAACCATGAGATTTTCTTAACAGTTTAAATTGTTTTAATGAGTTGGATGTGGAGTGTGTGGCACTGCTTGCTTTGGATACCCTCTGCCTGCCTCCTGAGGTGTTCACAAACCTGACCCTCTCAAGCTGAAGAGCACTTTCCAGATGCAGATGGGCCACACAGCTGCTTTGTTCCCTCCCTCTCAGCAGCTTCTGTAGCAGAGACTTGTAGCTCAGTTTGAACACTGACAGGTTAGTTCTCAGCTGTCATATTTTACCCAGGCAAAAGCCTAAAATAACACCCAAGGATGACAAAAGTCACAGTATCCTGGAGTTCCCCTTCAAGACATTTCTTACCCTCATCCTCAAAGCTGACCTGCAGAGCTGTTACTTCCTTCCCAGACACACCCAGGATGTCAATCCAGGAGTTTGCATCCCTGGGCAGATCCCTGCTCTGGGTTCTTTCTCATTCTTTTAGTTTGGGCTGGTTGGCAGAGCTGGGAGGGCTGCAGATGGTTGGCTACCATGTGTCCCCCCCTGCCCAGGCCTGGCAGGGTTCCACCAGCTGAGGGGTTTATTGCATTAATTTTCCAGCATATGGGATGGGGTGGGAGCAGAATCACATTCTTGCATGTTCCTGGTTTCAACTGCAGGACTGTTCTGCTGTCACTGCTTCTAGACTGGGAGAGTCACACTCAGAATTCATCCCTTGAGGAGACATTTCATGTGGTCACTGCTGGGCAAGGGTCCTGCTGCTCAGCTCAGACCCACCTGGAGCCTGGGGTCTAAGGACAGGCCTGGCTCATGGACCTTCTCCTGGAGGATCTACAAGGCCAGGGTTTTCCCTGGAATAACAAGCTCATCAAGCCAAGGGAGAGCTTGCTTTAAAGTCAGGTTCAAGGGACAACATGTGTGGCTTGTGTTAGTTTAAAAACTGATCTAAAATGCAGTTCTTCTAGCCCATTAGAAGTTCAAAGCAGTTGTGCCCTGAAGTGGGTCATGTAGATCCCTCTGGGGCTCTTTGTCCTTTCTCCACACACTCCTGGCTCTTCACCTGGAGGACACAAACACCAGTGTTTCTCCATCTAACATTTTTGAGACCTGCAGGTCCCTTTTCAGCCCAAATGTATGTAAACAGATTTCACAGAATCTTAGGAGTTGGAAGTGACCTCAAAAGACCACCCAGTCCAACCCCCCTGCCAGAGCAGGGGCACCCAGAGCACATCACACAGGAACATGCCCAGGGGGGTTGGAATGTCTCCAGAGAAGGAGACTCCACAGCCTCTCTGGGCAGCCTGGCCCAGGGCTCTGTCACTCTCACAGCAAACAAGTTCTTCCTGAGATTCACATGGAACCTCCTGGGCTCCAGTTTGCACCCGCTGCCCCT